TATTTTTACAGTAAATGGATTATACTCTTTTTAAAATAACCTGTTTTCAATTTTTAAGGTAAATGTTACGTAAAGCCCGGGAGACCAATAAAAAAGGGCGGGGGTCCTCGTCGTCCCTTTTAGGTTTGAAATCAGTGTTTTGGTCCCGCTTAGGGTGATAATGACAAGAATTCCCAACAACTGAGTTTTGTGGTCCCTTTTWGGACTTTTAGGGTATACGACGTCCCTAACGATTTGTATATGACACAACATCGTCATCAAATCAGTAAGAGCCGACGGCGTTTTATGCTTGTGCAAAAACACAAATAAAATCGGGAAACCAAAACAAAATGACCTGTTATGGATTGGTCCCTCTTAGGGATGAAATTTCAGCACTGTCACGCCCATCATCTCACAATACAGGTCCCTTTTAGGGGTCATTTTCAGAATTTCCGACGAGCACCCCCTTCCCTTTTTTATTAGGRAGTCGCCCCTCCCCCGGGACGTAATGTAAGTAATAGTAAGAATAATAACATGAGGGACGATTACCAGTAATCGTCCCTCATGGATAATAATATGAGGGAAGATTGGACTAATCGTCCCCTCATGTTGAATTCATGAGGAACGGAAGACAAAGGAAACCTTTGCTTCCTAGTATAGGGACAACTGAATGTCCCTACAGCTCTCTTCTTTTTACCTCTGCAATGAACCGTCTGGTTATCGTCTCAGTCACACTGAAATGTGGGATGAGTCACTACTTCGTACCACTGAGCATGTGCACTTGACGAATTTCAATATGATAAGCTTCTTGGCATTATATTTGCAAATATAAAAACAACTTTTCGGGGTTGAAGTTAAGGTTCTTTAACTTCAGCGTTGAATAGAACTGAAAAGCAATTGTTTAAAAGTTCGCTGTTGGAAATCGGTGAGAATGGTCGGATTACCAATATCATTTTGTACTGTTGTTCTGCGAAAACCTTTTCAATGACACAACAAAGTACTTGATACTCTTAGAACAGTGCGTATCCATTCCTTTCATGTCACATTCCAATTCATGCACTGATGAATTGTTTGTTGCAATGTTTATATTACTTCTGATTGAAAACATTGGAGCATGCAAAAAAACAAGAATTCAAATTCGCTCAAGTTCAACTTTTCAATTTTTTCCTCGGAAATCATGGTATTACAAAGTAATAGCATGGCTTCCTCGGGAGATTAGGGATTAAATGTCCCTCAGCCTCGGGCAGATAAGTAAAAGTCTTCGGCTTCGGGGACATTTAATCCCTAATCTCCCTCAGAGCATGCTATTATACTTATAATTAAACAATAGAAAAAATAGAATTAGCATAATTTAGCGGTATTTAGTGGTATTTATGTTGCACAGTTTTAGCGTTTTAAGAGTGGTCGCACTTAATCCGTGCAACTGTACAAAGTTTGTATTTAGTAAATCGTGCATGCGGTACGCAGACAAATTAATACTACTTATAGATTTTGTACAGTTGCACGCTTTAAGTGCGATCACTCTAGTGTTTGTACTCTGATTAAAAATTGTAATTAAGAACTGTAATTATTAATGGTTTTATAGATCTTAACTGATTCAAATATTCTACCCTAAAAAACACTTATTYGAGTGCTTATTACGTTTCGTGGAGTCACTCACGCTATCTAATGTTTAATCCCGCAACCTCAACACTTCGAAACCCCACCTGAATCCACATCTTGAAACCCCTACACAGTCTTATGCGAGTAGGGCTAGGGATATACACGTTATGTTGATATAGGGATGTATAAGACCAGACAAAATTGAGTATCGCTTGTTTGGTATACGCTATAGAAATGATAGTCTAGTATATCGTGATGGCGTAGGAAGCCTGAAAGCAATCTGTTGATTGTGTTCTAAATTACAACAAAAAAAAGCAAATTAAAGATTTTTTTTTTCATTTTCTTTATTTCGTTTTGTTTTGTTTTGCAATTTATTTATTTTTCTATTTTTATCTTTATCTTTTCATTTTTGGAATATTTTGTAATTGCTGTTGTTCTTGTCTTATGTTATAGTTTAAGATATGCAAAGGTCTTTTATGCATGCAGCTCAATCTAATTCCCTCTCACATAGTAATCCAAAATCTGATCCACGCGTTTTTATCGGAAAATATTACGACAAATGATCACATGGAATCTCTGTTGGAGCTAAGTAAAAACCCAACTATACTCTCTATTATCGATTTTTCTAAATACATTTCTTTTTCTTTGTTAGCAAATTTTCTCAAATTGCAAAAAGAGCCATTTTTCTCTTTGTTTTCTTATATTTACATTTATTATATGAACATTATTGTCTGGCTTACATTTTTTCATTTGTGAAAAAATCTTCAATTTTATGCTGTTTTATTTTTGATATAATACTCATATACGAACGCCATCCAATATTGTTAATTACATAGTCGCTTAATTGATACATCCATTAAATTGAATTCATGTCCTCTTTTATTAATTTTTTAATTTCTAACAATAGCAGACTGGTCTTAATGTTACTAGTTTTCTATTGGATAATGAATACCATTGCTTTTTACCGTAACTTCAGTCTTTTCCATAGTCCATAGTCATTTTGAAATTGCAATAGCGATTCCACATTGATATTATACTCAACGYATCAGTGACTGTCTAATCTCGGAATATCTGAATCTGACGCTCTGCTGTAAAGGCTTTCTGTCCTTTTCGCTTAGCTTCGATATGCAATTGACCATTTTTATCGATTCTTGACTCAACTGTATCCATTTCGACGTCTTTTGGCAGCAGAAAATGGCGGTGGAACTCAGAATAACTTGAGACACCGCCTTCTTTCTTCTCTTTGACTGCGTGCACTGACAGCTCATTTCCCTTTACTTTAACCTGGACTTCTTGYGGAGCATAATCTCTGACATCGAGAGAGACAGCAAATTTGTTGTCGTCTGTTCTAGAGATGTCTCCTGGAGAGCACCCTAATAAAGCCACATTGAGATTCTCAGTGCGGGTTTTAAAAGCTTCAATGTGAAGTAAACCATCGTAAGTGATACGAGAAGACACAGAAGACGGGTCTACATCAGCTGGTAACTGGAACACCCTGTGGAACTCGAAGCTTTCAGTGCCATGTTTACTTTCAGAGTAGTGCTTGCCATCTACGTAGATTTTTCGGTCTTCAACTCGTAGAGAGATTTCCTCTGGTTTGTAGTTCTTCACATCAACTGTCGAAATGAGAATTTTACTTGAGCTCATGTTGCAAATACGAAACTCAAAATCTCGTCGTTTTATCAAACAGCTGCTAAAATGAGACAGTGATGGCTTTGTCTATGAATAGTATCACAGAAACATTAACCCTAGGGGCAGYTGGACTCTTATATATTGACGGATGAACATTCTCGAATAATATCTACATTACTATATAAGTAGTCCGTTAGCATATCACATTGTTTTAATATTTTGAAGGGTAATTTATTATTGATAGTGATAGCTAAGCACTTTTTGATTTTATGTAGTATTCTGTCGAATGTTCTGGAATCTTCTATTTGTTCCTCACTCTAAATAAGGAAGGGTTAAATCGTCTCCATACATTAAAACATTCACAATAAAACTGATTTGAAATTTCACATTCTATGCTCACAATTATGAAATATTTTGCACACAAATGAGGCTAACATTGTAGAATTCGAAACTGGAGTATACGTATCCTTCACTGCTGTAAATACAACAGTATGCACATATATTATATAAAGGATATACATGGGCGCGCGGAGATACAGATTGTATCTTCGAGTGTTGAAAAGATCTCTAACGAGTGAGCGTAGCGACCATGTAATATTCTGTWTATCATATAATTATCTATGAAATACCTATATTTCTCCATTTCGTAAAATTGTTATTTTCACTAGCGAAATTAACATGTTATTTTCACTAGGGAAAATAACACATTCAAGTTTTCTCTATATAGTAAAAGCAAGAAAAAAAGGTATTTTACGACATAATTTGCTTTCATGTGACCTAACACTAGCAAAGGTCTCAGTTTTAATGTCGCATCATAGACCTTTGCTAGGTTTTAAATCAGTTTGAATCAATGTGCAGACATGCAGTATAGCATAGACTAGCCGTTCTTACGTGTGGGATCAAAATTCAATTGTGCCAAATGCACATGTTCAGTAGAAGTTTAATATGCATAATCACTGTTTTTTTCTAAAATGATAACAATTTCTGGATGTTGGAGGTCTAGAAGTAGTATAAAAAACTCGCAGTCGTGCTTTATCTTCGGCCTCGTGTCTATATCGCTCCCGATAAAACACTCCTGCTCGTTTTTAAATACTACATATACATATTAGGTATTTCATAGGTAATTATATGATAAATATATTTTACCTACTGGTGTCTATAAAATGACATCATGACTATGGTGTATTCCAAGACCGAAATGCATTTTGCTATTACAGACCACATAAACGGCTTCGACGAGTGACAATTGTAACAGTGGCGATACGACAACCAAGAATGCATTTCTAGTGGAGTGCAATCCCGTCCAGTCCWTTGTCGGACTTTAAACATTACTTCTCGTGTYGAAAATATCTCACTCGTTCACTAGGCTCACTCGCGAGAGATCTTTTCAACACTCCGTATCTCCGCGCGCCCATGTAACATCCTCTATTTCATAGATAACTAGACCCTGACCGCAGGGTGTACTCGTGCCCTAAAGGTGTTGAAAAGTGCTGGCTTATTCAGTACTTCTTCAAATTGAGCTCATTTCAAACTTTTCTTTTGTTCGCCTATATGACCAACCATGTAATATACTSTCTTTCTCAATTTTCAAAAATAGCTTGCCCGAGTTGACGCTCTAAGAGGGTCTGGTTAAGATAGTAACTCCTTGTTGATTTACTTTTCATGCAATATTCAGCAGCTTTTTAAGGAACTAGATATACAATAATTTTTGACAAATCTTTAAAAGCGTAGRCACGGCATACATCGCACGGCAATGCAGACGTGACTRCCACAGTATCAAAATCAGACAGTTCGGCGCTGTGGCGAGCGATCAACAAGAAGGTCCCGCTCTATAAAACCATGCATGATCGCTTCAATCTTCATCTAGGAATACTCATCCGTGAATAGCATTGTTTTCTTTAACCAGAAGAGACAGAATCCTTATGCAACTCAGAATCAGACAGCCACGTTGCGGCTTCACTCAGCTACGAAGTCGGTACACCAACCTTTATGAACAGAATGTCATAATACATGCTCTTACACAGATGAATGTTTTAGAATAACAAAAAGGCCTCGAATATCAAAGAATTACTAAAAAATTACAGTAAATCCCGGCAGTTATTACTGTTCTATGATAAGATTATTTACAGTAGTTCGTAATTTGATATTTCGTATAGAGATCGGAGGGCGATCGGGAGCCCCGAAGGCAAACTTCTGACTTGAAAAAAAAATTATACGCGTTGCATTTTATTACTCATTTCATTTCAAAAAAGGTTGTCGGATAAAATGGCGAATGTTAATGTTCGAACGGCGATTGCACGACCGAAAGTAGCCATGGGTTTTGCTAGTTGAAAGGCAATAACAACTGATTTATACGAGGGTCTCAATGGGGTGGTACGCATCACGACTCACGGCTAAAAATTTAGCTATTTCACGACTCACGACTAATTTTTTCGGATCACGGTTAACTAGATTACTTTCAGAAATTTTTGAAATGAAAACGTTTTCATTAGAGTGGTTTTCATTAACCCGTGAAACACACGTTAGCGTATTTATCGCTATTACACTTTGGCTCTTTTGTTTTTTAGTCTCTACGCGACGTTTACGATTTATTACACTCTAATTAGTACACTTTGTTTCACGGGTTTATGAAAACCACTTTATCATTTAAACTTTACCCATATCATGCATCTTGATGGTTTGCTTCATTAGCSCTATTCGTACTTTCTTGTTTAAAACTTTCGTCGTGCAGCTTGATACACACTCTTGTGGTGAATTCAAACAAAGCTTTGACACATCCAGTATTATTCACAAACCCATGGAATACATTTCAGCGTAATACGTTTATTACTCTTTAMGTTTGTGCATGAGTCTTTTTTTCGATGTATCATACATTGTACTTTGAYACAATAATCCAGTTTCGAATTCTCCAATGCTCTGTATTAGCCTCATTTGTGCGCAAAATATTACTAATTGTGAGATTTCAAATCAATTGTATTGTCTTTCTTTTCAAATTCAATGCGTTTTCTCGGGTTATGAATAAAAACAAAAGAATATGTTATTTGGTTTTAAGTCTAACACAGTGCAAACCAGAACTCGAAATTGGAGTATTATACTTTGTTATATATCCCAGAAGGCCTTTCGTCACAAAACTGAACTATRACACTTTGTTTCACGGGTTTGTGATGAAACAAGAACAAATAAATGATTGGAACCCAGACGTTTTTGTTATGTTGGCAGTAGTTTCAATAGGCATAAATCAGCAATGAAGACAAACAAAATAATGTGCGAAACGATGATTCGGTTTAATGCGCTCATGTATAGTTTTGATTACGTATGAATGAATAAACATTATACATGTAGAACAATTCTTCTTATTTGGAAAATCTTTTGAGCTCATGACTTTGCATTATTGTTCCTCATGTACAGGAATCAAAACTTTCATGCCTGCAAGCGGTTTCGATGTGATCACTCAGCCTTTTAACATTTGTTTTAATTTAATTTTTGATCGAGACATTTTTCAGATTATATCTGATGTATTGTAAATCATAGTTTTTGCACATCCCATAACTTTTGTTTTGTTATCTAGAATAAACATTAGGTTACATTAGTTTATTGCTTTAAACAGACCTATGTCGCTATGCAATTCTTCAGTACTCAGTCTTTTCTATTTATTAGCTTATTACAATTATAGTCCAAGCTGTATCAATATAGTTTGGTGCGGTGCCATAGTTTATAGTCTACTACTTTACAGCCATTATATACCATCAAGAAACGACAAATCGATTTCACCTCCTGGTAAAGCCTCCAACCCTTCAATAGTCAGTTCCCCAAATAAGTCTAAGCGATGTCGAACAGATTCAGGTTGGATGTTGTCAGGCAGAGAGAAAACTCGATGAAATTCACACGATTTCTCTGGTGTTTCATGCTTTCCATCCACGTAAATACGGTTGTTCTCGACTTTAAGGGTTATTTCTTCAGGTTTGTACTCTCTTAGTCCTGTAACAGTCGTTATCTTGATTCGATTGTTCATTTTGCAAAGACAGCAATATAGACGATAGAACTACGGTTTATAAGAATGTCCACAGGTTGACCAATATTGTAAGCAAGCTAAAACCCAGTCTGTCACTTTTCCGACTGTAGTTAGAAGCGATTCTACAACGCACAACTTAAAATGAATGTTGTTGATTTTAAGGTTACTGAACCGTTACATCAACGCTATTTATAATGCAAAATAGTATCGTTACGAAAATTAATGACATAAATTTTAGTTTCTAAAGATACTTTTCTTATGTCAATCAACTATCTATGAGGCATAACGTCAAAACACATCAAAATCACTTATTAATATCGATTTCTTTATCTACACATGAAAAATAATAATACTTTATTCGTACAATTACATGCATGAGGTCTCAAAATGCCAACCTTTTTTATAAAACATTCAGCGAAAACAACAAGTTCCGAGAGCCCATATGGTAATGGATGACTCTTACATGTCATTTTTTAAACTCATTATGTGTTGATCTAAAACATTGAAAATTAGCACATAATTAAAGAGGTGTGGCCGAATGTGTTTCTTGATTAATGAAAACTTCATATAGTTTGTGGCTAGGCACAAGTCCATTTTTTAATTTCAGAACTTGGCCAATCACTGACACTACTATAAAATCCGAATGCTAGAAATCTACCAACCAATGAAATTTATAAAGAAAAAAGGCACTTAGAGAATATGTGGTTTATATGGAATATGTGTGGAGCTTGTCTGAATATATATTTCAAAATATTTTAGACTTGATGAAAGCTACAATGCCTCCTCGACAGGCATCACTAAGAATCACGGGCTCCCTGTCTTTTTGGGGAGTCAAAAGAGCGTTGACTCTAGTCGTGATGGCGTCCATGGAATTGCTCGAGTCAGTTTTGTCGAGTGATCGTCAAACACTGTGATAAAGCTGAAGGCTGCAAGCTGTTCGTTTCTCGAAACCGTGTTCCATTTGTGCCAAACTTCTTGTACAAGCAAGAGTTTCAAGAATCTTCTATTTATCGATTGAGGCAGAATCTCATAAACCAGAGGATCTTGAAAAGGTTGACCATCTCTTCAAAGTCAACCCTGTTGCCCAATCTATGTTCGTTCCATGTGTTGATGAAAATGYATTAACTATTAAAAAAGACAAGATGAAGCGTCCGGCTAACACTACACCAGATGCAAGAACAACTCTTTGACGAATGGTGGCATCATCAGTATTAACTCTCTTGACGAGAAGATGAAAGAAAAAGTTGAAAGCGATTTTATGTCACTCATGAGATGGATTGCTTCTATGAAAGCAACCCTCGATAAGGCAAAGATGAAATTCTACAAAGTCGAAGTTGAAGCTAAATCAAAGAGACGTTCTACTGACGATGAAATGACCGAGTTTCCCGGCGGGCCAGTAGATAGGCACATGATAACGTTTACCAAGATGCTTGCTCGGCAGACAGATGACTCAAAAACAGGAGTTGGGGCAGTTCTAATGAAGGGAGAGGAAATCGTGTGTATTGGATGGAATGGATTTCCAGCGAAAGCCTTTTATGGAGAATTTCCACGCGCCTCGGATGATGAGAGAAACACAAGAGAAAAAAAGTATCCTTATGTATTACATGCCGAACAAAATGCAGAGAAATGAAAAGAACTTGACAGATGGTATCCTTTTCGTAGTGTTTAAAAAACGAGCAGGAGTGCTTTATCGGGAGATATACACACGAGGCCAAAGGCCGAGTGTCTATATCCCCGATAAAGCACGACTGCGAGTTTTTTATACTACTTCTAGAACTCCAACATCCAGAAATTGTTATCATTTTAGAAAAAAGCTAAAAAATGCGAAAACAGAGATTATGCATGTTAAACTTCTACTGAGCATGTGCATTTGTCACAAATGAAAGAATTTTGATCCCACACGTAAGAACGGCTAGTCTATGCTATACTGCATATCTGCACATTGATTCAAACTGATTTAAAACCTARCAAAGGTCTATGATGCGACTGAGATCTTTGCTAGTTTTGGGTTGCGATAAAGCGCTGATGACCTTCAACATCAGTTCTTTATATTGATATAGAACTGATTAATAAAACATCAGTGCTTTATTGGGATATAAAGGTCCATCATGTGACCCAATAGTTGGATTCTGATTGGACTAATAGCTCATGAATTATTAATGAGTTCTAGAACGCTAAATAAAATACCTCCAATCGCCGGTTTGTGCTCATTAGACAAATTGAGTAGAATTCTGTTTGTATTCCTTAGATAAGTCCTTTGTAGTTTCAGAGCCTGTATATGCTAGTATAAAGTTCGCTTATAATAAGGTAGGTAGCTTGTTTGATAAACAAAATAATACTCGGAAGACTCGATCGATAGACAGCAAAATAAATTTCACAACATTGAAGTTTTACGATAAATTCGTGGTATCTCTCCAAATGCCCTTTCGAAAAGCGCTCGGCATTTTTTAGTGTGACTATACCGCGAATGGTTTTTTGGATTTGTAAGTGGTTTAAGTTAAATCCATTTATTATATACAAACTGAGATTTTCTCACATATATTTCTATTTGAAAATCCGTTTCAAAATATTAACTAGCCAATCATAGGAGCGAAACAAATTTCTAACACGTGCGAAAAGCGTTTCGTCCAATCAGGAAAGACTTGTGAAAACGTACCACGGAATTCAATCAACAACTTCAAGCTTCTTGTGTAGAGACAAAGCATTTAAGAAAGTGAATTGACAACTAATATTGTCAGGAGAAAAAACAAAAATTCAACAGCTAAAACGGCGAGTGATGAAAAAGCTACTCGATGAATTTCCGCCGAGAGAAAAAAAAGTCAAAGAAATCCAATTCCAAGAGACCGAAAGCAAATAGCTGAACGAATACATCTCTGATGACATCTCTGCGACTTTATGATTGTGAAGCCTAAAGACACTGAAAGTTTCTGAACCAGCATACGCTCACTCGTTCGATTTAAGATTAATCACCAACTCGTGCGAAAATCCCGTACGTCAGCACTTTCCATGAAGAAATCTATGTCTTTCATATCATACTCGCCACCATAAAGATAGCACATGGAAGTTGTGAAATGTCATGTGATAGGTTTTTAATATAACAGTCGTACCCAGTGCCTTCTAGGTTGGCCGAGGACAATTTGTGACCGAAAGACGACGATCATGACGAAAAAGACAGCCGAAATTTAAACTSGGGATTCCTTTGGAACCCCGAGTAACAAGTTTCTTGACTAAGCTAACGCGAAAATTATTTAGTACTAGTAGTAAGGCTTGTTGACATGTTTTTGACAGAAGTAACAAAATGTAACTTGGTAACTTGGTAAAGTTTTAAATTCGTAACTTGTAACGCTATTTCCAGGGAGCCGTTTACAACGCAAGACAACGGTTACTAATTGATATACGATATGCGGGTGCTATTTAAATATATGCTATTTAAAGTTGCGTAAAAGGGATTTGTTCTCTAGCCTGTGTACATCCGTTTAGAAACGGATGTACACAGGCTATTTGTTCTCATGTCTACAAGAAGATGTTAGCTCAAATCATTTATTAATTGTTCCCACTTGGGTTTGCAGATTATATAATATTTTTCCCATAAACACAGTTTGCAGCGATTTGAAGRTGAGCGATTTGAGTTGCATCGGAGTTTACGGCAATGATGCTCTGATGAGGCAAATCACAGAATCAGTTAGGATAAGAAGGACGGTGTTATTAACTCTAGTTTGCCACGAGCAGTAATTGAATAGTTTATGGTTAWATCTTTGGCGCTCTCTCTTCTGGAAGAACGTTAGCGCGCGCTATCGTTGAGCGTGCATGCATATTTAAAAGTAACGTACACAACGATTGTTAATCTTGTAACTGAGGAGGTTTAATAAAAACGAAACTAGTTTTACAGACAAGATACAAGCTAAATTTGTGAATCAAGACCAAACATAGTGTGGTGAAATCAAGATGAAATTAATATCAAAGTCTTGCGAGGTTTAAATACTCGTAATATCAAAGAAAAGGTTTACAGATAAATATCTTCAAAATGCACATTGCTCATGAGCTCGCTTGCATAAAGTAAGAGTTACATACCGAGAACGTCGGCAATCAGCCTAATACATCCCGAGGGCCGTAGGCCCGAGGGATGTATAGGCTGATTGCCGACGTTCGAGGTTGTAACTGGCTTATATTATTTCATACTTGAAGAAGTTTTCCAAGCATTGCATTAATATTTTCATTTTTAAATAGGCAAAGAAGCCGTTTTCATATGAATTAAAAACCAAACCCTCGATTACAAAGATTACGAAATTTACAGTATTGAAAATTCCCAACGGGAAKAATTTGCATAACCAATTCATAACCAATTTCATAACCAATTTCAGACGGAAAATTTCTAAGTTGAACGTAGTAGTAAATTAGGTATTCAAGGGCAATATATAGATATTGCCCTCAAATGGGGGCGATATCTAGATATATCCCTGAAGCTTCGATATAAAGCACTTGAATACACAACGAGCTGGGGAATAAGCGAGATACAACACTATGAATAACAAAGAAAACTGAATCAAGTATGAAATAATCATAGTTAATAACTAACTATGCATAAATGCAACGTCTTTTAAACAGATGTCGTTGATGAGTAAGAGATAATTGAAGGTACATCTCAGTAACTGAGGACTGAAAACTCACATTTGACTGAACATTTTGCACWAGGATAAGAATTGTAGAATGATTTCTAGAATATTCATATACATTTTCAGCGCGACAAGATCTCTAATATAACTGTATATACGCAAGTATTAACATAAGCCGACAATGGACGCAGCATTGCTTTGTTTTCTCTTGAGTAGTCAAGCACTCGTGCTTTGTTTTCTCAATTGTCTTGTGTTATGTCTGAGCTAGWGCATACTCCACGCTTAAAATGCATTTTTTACAATGAGGAGCGTGGATACTAGTTGGTATTAAAATTGGGAAATGTCCGTGAATACATGATAACATCGTAAAAAAGATAGCTACGATTCCATATTCCCTTCTGTGTCTACTTCATCTTCAAAAGYTCTCTTGATGCCTGCTGTTGAAAACAATAATGAAAGTGAATAAGAGACTTTGCAACAATTACCAGGAGGGGGGGCCGTAAAACCAGATTTCTCAAGCAGAAAATTAGCCAGAGGAGCTGACGGGGTCTGTTCTGCTTAATAACTGTTCTTGTATGAATTTGTTGCTGGGAAAGGTTTTCAAGGTCCAAAAAAGGCTTATGTAACGTTTTTATGGTCAAAAACGACTTTGATGTTACTTGTGCTTGTTATGTCTAATAAATCATCAAGATGTTTTTCAGCTTCTACATCTTTTTTTGTGATAAAATTGAAAAAATCAATAGTTGAAAAAAAATTCATATCTTGGTCAATTTCAATCCCACATCAACGAGTCTTTGAATTTAGATTTCCATTAGTACGTTTCGTATCATAATGGATTTTTCATAAAAAAGATAACCTCACAAGCTTTAGCTAGCAGATTAAAAATGTTGATGAGAAAGCTTCTTAAAACTGAAAAAGTAATATCAATATGATATTAATTGTCAGTTAAAGTTGTTTTTGTCATTTTGGTTGTTTTACGTTGAGTTTAAGATAACGAAAATAATGCGAAAATTTTGAATAAAACTTAAGGCCCCCCCTCTATTAATTAGGTAATTTTACTTTGAGCCCCCCCTGTCTTGGCATCAATTTTATGTAATGCCCCACCTCTCTGATTTTACGGACCCCCCCTCCCCCCTCTCCTGGTAATTATTGCACAGTCCCTAAAAGATCAAAAATATCCAGAAGAACACATACCAAAGACATTCGCATACAACTGTATATGATTGCATTCAGTAGACTTTGGTTTAAATTTAAAAATGAGATTAGAAAAAAGGAGCTTGTGTTTCTGATTCGCTCTAAGAAAGAGCTTCAGCAAAAGCCCTCCTCATATCTCGGAAATAAAATGCATGCTTAAATACCCAAACTCGAATAATAAGGATATTTCTCATAGGTTGAATTTATTGGTTCGCGTGGATATTTCGTTGCCTTTACAACCGAACGGTTGTCCGAGCCGAGGAGGTCAATTTCAAATAATGCTGGTGTTAATGTGTAACTATTTTAAACGTGATTTTAGGGGGGTCTTCGTTTTGGATAGTGCTGCTATTTGCCCAACTTCAGCGTCATTTAGCACGAAAATTTTACTTTCGCCCGTGAATAGAAACAGCACTGAGTGGATATATTCTAGTAATTTCAGAAATGAAATCATTTTTAAAATAAAAATTGCATAGCACGGATCGTTCGACGTTGTAGTTCAACCTTCGTGAATGGCTGCCGTCTCGTCGAGTTTTTAACCATTTTTGACCTTACGGATACCTCATATTTTCAAGTCTCTGGTCGACGAAATTCCTGGAGAAGGTAAATAGAGTGCTTTTCTTTAAATGTGTTTATTTTAAGCAAAATCAAGGTATTTTTTCTCGTGAAAACATTATTTCAACTTTAATGAGAATTTCAATACAAACTTTGTCACTCGCAATGTTCTTGCTTTCAATATATCAAAATAACTTTCTATTTCTACTATCGCCCGTACTTGTGTTTATCATCATTTTAAAGCTAAAAAGCTGTAAAAGCGGGTGGKTWTAGTCAAATTATTGAATAAATTGCGTGCGCTTTTGTAAAGCACTATCAATATGGTGCAAATGTGTTGCTGAGTGAACTGTGTTGTAACGTATGATTCCCTGGAAGCAAAAAAAAATTCGTCGACATAAGATCTAATATGCACTTGGCTGACTTTTTTTCCCACAAACTACACAACCACTGTTTGACCTAACAAACTAGGTAGAATTAATAAACAATCAAAGCGAAGCAAGAAAGAGTGCACTGTGAATTGAGACCGCGATGATAATTCTTTTTTTACTTCACGCTCATCTAGAAAAGGGCGCGAATCTGCTGGCGGTAAGCGACGCGGCCGTCCATGGGCCCTTTCGTGCGCATGAGCAGACAGAATGCCTACATGCTGCCCACCCGCTAAAATACAAAGAGAGAGATGTRTGGGCGGCCGTCACCACCAAAAATACGTTTTTATTAAAYAGTGTAGTGATCTCTGTTAAACGATTAACGATCCAGCGAAATACCGATTTTTCCAGCTATCTGTGTCAAACGTTGCAGCGAAACACCACTTTGTCCAGCTATCTGTGTCAAACGATCCAGCGAAATACTGATTTGTCCAGCCATCTGTGCGTTAATCGATCTAGCGAAACACCGATTTAAACAGCTAGCTATGTCACGATCTAGCGAAACAACTCTTCGATTAGCTATCAGTATTAAACGATCCAGCGAAACATTGATTTGTACAGCTCACAGTGTTAAACGATCCTGCGAAACACTGATCTTCCACAGAGTTTGCGCCATCACCACCAAAAATACATCCTTGACGAATGGTGCAGCCATACAATCATGGAAAAAATCCATTGGACAAAATGTATGTGTATATGTCTACCTACTAAAACTTACAGACAATTTCCCCCCGTGGTCCCCCATTTCCAATGTTGGTCAAACAAACCCTCCTTTCATACCGAAACATTCCCGCCAACAACATTGACATCCAGCATTGACTTTGGGGGTAGGGCTTGAGTGAGGATTTGAACAGCCCATAAGAGAGTACATCTTCTAGAGCACAGTAATAGTGCTCTGTGCCATTTAATTTTGTCCATGATTGTAAAACATTAACTTAACGGCCGATTTTAGTCCTGTCATACACATAACAAAACATTTAAGCCTTAACGGCCGATTTCAGTCTTTCGGTGATTATTAATAATTAAAACATTGTATGCCGTTAAATTTAACGGCCGATTTTGGTCTTTCGGTATAATGTTATAATATCATTATAATATAATCATCTTTACCTAACAAGTTAATGGCTTAAAATGTTTTGTTATAGACTATATATCAATATCCTCTTATCATTAACCGAGTGCGAGGTCTTTACGGGAAAATATCAGACCGAGGTCTTAACAGTACGGACAAAAGACCGAGGTCTGATATTTTCCCGTACAGATCGAGCAAGCGAGGTTAGTAACTCGTTTATTATATGACTTTTACATCGTAGATTATGTAGAAGAATTACTCAAAGTATATAGGAAAAGTCTCACTGGTCAACTTGCAACCCGTTGCCTCCCTCTATCTGATGGCAACGCTTTTCTCAAATATCTCACGACATGAGTAAAATGACTCAAAGAAATCATCATAATTTCAGTAATTGTCGGCTAAAAAGACGGGGATTTTGGCTCCTTGTTTCATAGATTCAGTTTATTTTCATAGGCACAAAATACATTATTATTACGGATTACGTACTCACAAATTTTCACTGATTCTTCTATCGTCGCGGCAGCCGGTGTAGATTTGTTGAAGGAATAAAAAACAGTTTTCCGTCAGAAGTACATTATGTACATTATGATAAACAAAGTTTTCTCGATTCGGTCCCGATACGGAAAAAACGGACCCGCGGTCTGGATACGCGATTTCACGGACCAGTTTTCAGACAACCAGAGCGCGCGTACTATCCAAGTCATATAATAAAATCACTTATTTAGCCATTATATATAGTAATAGTATATAACMCCCCAAAATAACCAAAATATCGATGTTGAAAATGGCCTAATTTGAAGAAATTTCAACGGCTTTCGGCCGATAATCCATGGTGGATAATTCATCGCCATAGGAGCCCTGGAGCTGACTCTTCTCGATAGTCTGGTAAGCCTGTGGAATCCAAATAACTAACGAGCGTCCCGCTGAGATTTTAAAAAATATCAAAGGGGGATTGGATTCTAGTATGAAATATGATGCTGATCTCTGGCCACATCACTACTTCTTGACCTCGTGCTCCGTACAGCGGGTAAGGAATTCAATGCAATAACCGATATTTAGCTCTTTTTGCAATGCTACATTTATCAATTTACAATTTTTCTTATGTGTAACCAATTCACTACCCTGGTCCCAGAGGTTTGATATTTTCTCTCTTCGCTATTGTTTTTGTCGGCGCGAAGAGCCGTAACCGAGGCCTTACGGTCACAAATTAATGAAAAGATAGAAGGAAGTATCGAGAAAGTTAGGAAGGAGTAATCTAAACAATAAACAAATATAAGGCCAGAGGGAGAAAGCCTTTATGCATGAAYAAAAATAAGTGAAAAATACCGAAGGAGGTGATTGMCAACGGGGTGACMTACGTAGCACGCAGTTGATGTAATGTATTCATAAAATGTATTGTATTCCATTGTTTCTCGTTCTATTGTATTATGTGTTTTGTATTATATCTTTATGAATGAGTGCTACGTAGATTCTCCCGATTGACAACAACCTCGTACCCAGGGCTTTCTCTTCCTCGCTATTTACAAAATGGCGGACGCTCAAATAGCGAGGAAGAGAAAGCCCTGGGTACGAGGTTGGATTGACAATAGAACAAAAGGAGAATGAAAAGTAGAACGAAAAAAAAATTGTGGAAGTGTGAAAATGAATAAATAGATAAAAGAAGTAAATACATGTAAAGTGATAAAAAATTGAGATATAGATGGAGAGTGTTAAACTGGAAAGTGAGGTAAAAAGGGGAAATAAGAATGAAAGAATGGATAAAGGAGGGAAGAAAAATGAAAATAATAAGGTGGATAATAAGGTGGATAGTTAAATGTAGGGTGAGAATAAATATGAAGGTAAAAGGTGGAGTGAAAATCTACTATATGGGGAAGAAAAGATGAGCGAATAATGAAGAATGAACAGAACACGAATGAGGAAATAGATAAATTAATAAATATATAGGCGAAAAAATGAACGATAAATGTAAATAATARAAATAGATACTGRGTGATTGATTTGCGATCGGGCCTGCATATGAATTCGCCAATGTTGTAATCCAGTGAGCCCGTGCATATTTGTTAAGCGGTCATATTTGAAAATGTAAATAAAGGAAAGGGAAAACCCGCAGCTCTCCTTCCACTCAGATAAACAGTACAAGTCGTGTTAAATTTATTTACATAACTAAACAAAATGATTATAGAATTAAACCTTTAAGAATTGAATGCTCATATGAAACATTTTCCACCTTAAATACACACGTTTTTCAGATGGGAATTTAGTCGAACTTTTTTCACGATGGAATTTTGTTTTGAGTCGTTTCGACATAAACAGTCGCTATCAAGACATTACACGAAAAACCCCAGTCATCGTTCTAGCTCTCGTTGTAAGGTCAAAGCTAGTAAATGTGTAACCGACCTGTTACATAACGTCAACCCGTTGTATCGTCGAGCAYGYTTGCGGCTTATTACCGAAAATGCGACAAAGGATGAACTACGACAGTTGTTTGTACCAAAAATAACAAACGCTTTAACTCTATTGGAATACGTGGAGCTAAGGTGCTCTAGCTCTTTCAGTGATGTTGTATATACCTCAAAGCTTAAAGGAAACAAGAGCTAAGAAAAAGGATTCGCAATGGTTCTTCCTAAGATACTTTGGACTTGAAAGTCGCTTCAACGACCTTCTGAAGTCTTCATGAAGTCGGCCATTGCTTCGTATGTAATGGAGAACCCCGGGTGGAGAACCCGCGTAGAACACAGACCAATTATTTTATCAGGGAGGGGAGTCTCTTGGTATTAAAGAAAAAATTATTTGTTATTTCATTTTTAAGATAAAATTCTATTTCTATAACGATAAATATTTGATTGACATTTAATAAAAGCTATTTTATAAAGATTTGCAATTTCTCTTTGCGTTTTAGCTTTGATTTTCTTCGGATAGAATAAAATGGCAGCCAGCCTACTCCACTGGGTAGAGTTTTGCTGTGCAAATTCCTCCCGTCGGGGGGTTATGTTTACAACATAAGCTTGTCAGCTTTGTGCTGATTGACTAGTCGCATTTTCTCAAATCACCCAGTACGGATACTCGAGGGGAAAGTGGAGAAAGAAGGGACGCGCGGGTATTGAGCTCAATGGAGGACACGTGGTGATCTCAGGGAAAGGAAGGAACTGAGAGGCAAAGTGGTTGTACCATTTTGAAATGCCTATATCTCAGAAACTATTGGTGGGTCGAGGTGGGCCGCCGGCTTTAAATCAAAGTTTATTCTTTCATCTTTCTATACATGTGATAATCTGCCATTAAATCTTTAAAAACATATAAGTTCTCATGCCTTAAACATTCCTACTTGAAAGCGATCTTCGAGCTAATAGCGCGTATTACACTTCGTGATTCAAAGGCCTTGTTTTAGTCSATGTTTTCCTTCTCTGGTCGCAATCTTTCAATATGTTCAACCTATGTTTATGTACCAAGAGTTTCAAGAAAAAATTCTATYGAATAGTCTCAAAAATCGCCTGTTATGTGGTCTTGGTGTGATCTTTTCTGTGTAGAAATCTCATGTCGCGCGAAGTTGAAAGCGGACTCGTGATTGGCTGGTTTCTGTACCATAATCCCTTTCGGAGGAGTGTCCGGCCTCCTCTGGTTTAACAGAGATCGCTACTCTATATAATATAAAAATTAGGTAACACCTAATAGCGGAGCTCCAATAGCAATATAGAAGCTGAAAATGATTATCTAGTACTACTATTGGAATGTAAGTTAGAACAGTTTTGTCGACATGCGAACAAATATTATAAACATATTTATTAATTTTAGCTTAGAGTATGTTCATGAGAATTTAGTCCGTGTACTAATATTGACTTCAGTAGATTTTGTTCCGTTGGATGAAGTTTAATATTATAATCTGTAAAGGTCAATTGATTTAAAGTAAACTGAAAGCTTCTCAGCAAAAATAGTCTACATAAGCTTACAATAATCAACATTGTYACAATAATCGATGTTTGAACCCGGACTACTCGAACTTCACATGACAGAAAACTGTATACAAAAATAKATTTTTCTACCTTCATTATGCATCGAACTTCCGATAAAGACGATAAAGGTCGATAAATCATCGTTCAAAGGCCATCTTCAAAAGAACCATACTTGTTTCAAGCATAGGTTTCATCAATTTATTAAGTCATTCAAGACTCTCGATTCTTTGTTTTTAATCTCTCTCAATCTAACTGCTAGCATGGTCTTGGTTTTAAAATGTCCACACTTTTCGACAAATRAACTTAACATAGATCGCTGCTTTTTCCCATATTGGTCCATATTATTGAAGTATTTCCAATACAATATCATCTCTTTCTTGTTGTCGAAATATCAAAGTAAAATCCTTTTTTTCTTATATGACTTAGATGGGCCTAAATACGCTTGAAAATAAATTGCTTTTCATCTTCGCAAATCCGGATTTCCCAGATGTGCAAACGCATCGAATATTTCTGTGCTTTTATTTCGCTCTTCTGTGGCTATTTTGCTTGTGATTAATTGTTCTAATATTATCAATATGGATTATAAATGTTTAAGGAAAAAATTTCGACTTTTCAACAAATATTTGGCGCTATTTTTTCTTTTCGAACGGAGTATGGGTTTCCTGTGGTGGTACAGGGACGGAAGGACGGAAGGAAACGTGCGTACGCGCGGGAACCCTGTGTCGGTCCATGAAAAATCGACTCGATGGTATACCATTTTTTCTTAGCTATGGCATAGGCTACCCAACTATTGCTTGAGAGAAAGAAAAGAATGAATGCGCACGCTTTTATATTATGTTATCGAATCGGCGTGCGCTGTGGGTTACCTGTGGTATTACCTGTGGTATTACGTCACTATCGCGCGCCTCGCGGGATACAAACTATAGGCTATGGTACTCCGCTCGCGCGGGTCTCTGGCCCGCGCGGGAGCTCCGCTAAAAAGTGTATTTTGGGTGGTGCAAAAAACAGTAAATCTCTCTTTGACTTCCAAGTATCATATAAGAAATTTCTATTGGCTTACCATTTTCTCTTGCAAAGGGCTGAAAGTTCTTTTGTTGCCTTGCTTGAAAATTTGCTAAATATATCGGTTCATATTCCTTGAAACGTAAGAAATGCATGTAGCAATGAATTATTTATAAATCTATAACATTAAAATACATGCATGTACGAAGCTATAGATCGCATACCATTAATTGCTGTACAAATCCCTCATTAGGGTTTATGCAAAACCTTTTCTGCTGTACATGTTGAAAAGCATCTCTGCAACGCAAAAAGAAATATATAACATTGTTATAATAATAATGTATAAAATAGACGCAGCATTCATTGAAAACCAAAYGGCTATTATGGTTCACGAAATGATCGCGAATCCCTAAATAGCTTCGTATAATTGCATTTTGATAAGACAGTGCTTTGTGATATTGCATTACATATGCATCACATAGATACTGTGGAAGATTTGCAAAAACTACCGAAGCATACTCTAATAGTGATCTTAAAGAGCAATAGACGGCCACCAAGACTCTATGTGCAACTCCAAAATGATCCCATCCATCTCATAAATGTGACCCATGATCCCGATCTCAACCTGTGATCCCGGTCAGTCCTCCTAATTTTTTTAGCTTTCTGAACCCGTTGTAACCGTAACGGGTTAAGGTAAACCGTTGTAGCTGGTTACAATTTTTGCCATTTTTGTGGTGAAGCGAGCTGTCACGGCTTCATAATACGTTTCACCTCTCTATTAACTTTTGMAGGAGAAATATGGTCCCACTCATCGGGTATGTGGTTGTTTTGTTGCGAATCATATTTTAATGGAAAACTAAATACCATTTTGAGAAGACAAAATACTGACGAAACTGAAGGCGTTGGTCGAAAACGTAGTTCTGCACGACTACTTTGATACGAAAAACAAGGAATATATTGCTAGTCGCCAATACTTTGTGCAATTCAAAATCGTAGATAGTCGCAGTGAATTTTTAGAATGTTATATTACTACCCTATATGTAAGATATATGTAATGTCTTGCCTACCTATATGTAAGTCCATATGTTTCCATTATATAAGCAATCATAAGAGCAGCACTGTAGAATCAAGAATGAAGATACTAATCTTAGTTTTTAGAATTCATACGTATTCCAATTGTTTTGATCTTGGAGGAGTACTTTGCAATGACTTTGCAAGTTACTGCAAAGTGTGGCAAAAAGTAGGCCTGGGCTCGTTTGAATGAAGGTGAATAAAGGTATCCACTAGTACATCATACATTTTGTTTGGATTTTATCCGCTGGGTAAGAATTTATCCAGCGCCCCAGTGTATAGCGCTAATCACACTTCGTACAACAGCCCTCTGATTTCTACTTTGTGCAAAGCAATGCACAAAAAAGTGTGAAGCAATTCCTGTAATTTCAGTTTGGCAAAAAAGTTAGAGGCATTAGARCACCTTAGATATTTAGGACCATGACATACATTGTAAGACAAAAGGCCAATTAACATAAAAGCTTTCTTTCTTTCTTTCTTTTTCATTATTTCATAATAATATTATTCCTAAGCTGAACAACATTTTTTTGCAATTACGTGTGAATTATTCCTGACTGGTCATGAATTCAATGGGAGGAAAGTCTGATGGTGAATATAATCATACCTCCGTGAAATTCCTGCATTTCCATGAAGAAGGACTTTTCCTGGTCAAAAGTTGGATAAAAGTTGAAACTAATACTAACAGTCTTTTGAAGAAATTCAGACAGCTAACACACATGTATATTATTAACCACCAAACTATTAGCATATCCAGCATTCCGATTGGCTTCTGGAATATGTTCAATTCATGAATGAAGCGAAAACAGTCAACAAAAATGACTTGAGAAAAAATTCTGATTTCAAATTTGCCCTAAACCTTGGTGGATGCTGCTAAAACAATTAGACCACTCGGTCTCGTGGGAGTATGGCCTCATGGACTAGTAGTCCACTCGACCTAGCGATCAAATTGTTAATCATATAAAAATTGGTATATTAAGCGCTCTGGATTAGGTGAGACCCCTGTGCTATTAAGGCACAATCAAACCCATGTTGCCATTCAATCTTGCATGTGCCGTAATTGGTCAGAACTAGTGAATGCACTCCCGAAAAAAAATATCAAAAGCCAAATATTATAAAGCAAAGAGATTCCATTTTTCCAAAACATCATCATTGCATTATTTGTCAGTGTATCTGTTGGAGAACAGGCAGCCAAGTCCCCAGGCGTTCTACTCTGGCTTGGGGTGCCCTGGGACAAGCGCATGACCTCATTACAATGACAGAAACAATGAACGTCTGGGGACTAGGCTGGAGTACAGGTGCATCAGTGCATCTTTTAATGTTCAGAATTGTGGCACAATAGGCCATTTGCATTATGGTGTAACTTTACTACAACTACCAGAGAGCCTTGTGCATTTTCATTGTTATTCAGATTCTTAATCCCCTTGGAGATTAATAAAAAAATTGGCACTAATTGCATTACAAAAGAAAGTTGGCAAAGCATTCTGGTAGTTGTAGTAAATGACGTCATAATGCAAATCGGCTATTTACATGTATTATGTTACATTACGCATCATAATTAATTAAATATACCTCGACAAGTGAGACATTCGTCAATAAAAGATTTTACCTAAAAAAGAAATGAAAAACAATAGAAGTTTAAAAATAACAAGAGGAGTTACAATACATGTAAAGTCTTACTTTGGGGAAATGTCTGATGATATTTTCGGTAGGTAAATCAGCCACATCTAAAATTAAATACCTATAAACAGAACCATSGGAGTTACTGTACCATCAGAACTAATACATGACATATAAGTTTCTACACAACTAATGTTGTCATAGAAAAAGGGAATGGAGCCAAAAGAAAATTGCTCAAGTTCGGTTAATAAATATTCAGTGTTACTACTTATTAATAAAGATAATTGTGATTTWGCAAAATAAGACACCAAAATGTCCTGTAGAACAAATAGATATTGTTTAACATAATTCCTAGTCAGTTCTTTCTTTATGTTGTCCTCATTCAATCACAAGCCTCATTCTGAAATCCAAATTCACTACAATGTCCATCTCTAATATGATGACTTTATTACCAATTTGCACTAATAGTCCAGTCAATCTACAAAAAAAAAAAAAAAAAGGGCTCCAGTTCAAAGTAATTGCAATAGAATTTTTTCCACTTGGAAACTGTTGAAAGATTGAAGTATTCTGAACAACATACTAAAAATCCCAAAAAATCCCTTCGGTGGAACATCTTCAATCGATCTTGAAATTGAAGATGAAGAGGGCATGTAGCACAGGGATCCCAACACAATTGAATTGTACAAATAAAAACATATTTTGTTTCTTTTTGAAGCCATTTTAATTTTCCGGTTTTCATTCATAATTGTCTGACTGAGGTTTGGAAATTTTCTGAATTGTGAAAGTTCAGAAATTTTTCCAGATTTTTTTAATGATATATACTTAGATAGAAAAATTCAGAAATTTCTGGATTTTTTTATATGATATCTTTTAACTTACAAATACGAAAATTTAGAAAAAAAATCATTTTATCAGTACAAAAATGCAAAAATTCAGAAATTTTCCAAATGTATCAATAGCCAACTTGCGAATTACGCATCAATAGTCACATACAAAGGAATCAAGACGAGGCGCYGTGCTAAAGACAATATATTTTTCACAAAAAAGCACGGCGCCTCGTCTTGATTCCTTTGTATGTGACTATTGATGCGTAATTCGCAAGTCGGCTATTCCCCCATTCTTTGAAATCCTCCACTTAAAGAGCACTAAACACAATCGCTAATCTGGCGATTTGCATTATGTTGTTGATGGTTGTTTTCTTCTCAACCATTACCATGGCAACATGGAAACGATATAATTTGAAGCAGTCCTAACTAACTCTGTCCACTTTGTACAACACAAGTATGGCAAAGCGACAATAATCTAATGATGGATATGAGGATGGATCGTCTATTAAGGATTGCACACATCAAAGGCGAGCAGGGAACGTATCCAAAACTATTCACTTTGATTTAAATATGATTATACAAAGAATAAGCAAGAGTTCTTGGCGAATGTTATTAACAAGCAAAGTTTCGTTCATAATTTTGCTACCAAGCTACAGGTTGCAGGATGCATTGTTTGAGTCTGCATGATCACAACCAATAACTCTCATTCTTCTAGTCTTACTTTGCTATTACGCTGAAAGTAAGTTTTATGCCCAAACCGAAGAAGTCATCGATGACACGAAAAATCTGGGATATCCACCAAACAAAAAAGGATTTGGGAAAAGAAGTTTGTGAAGCGATTTTCTTATTCATTCGCGGCTGTGATACAACATCACAAGTACATGGAATTGGAAAAGRATGTGCTCAAAACAAACAGTTCCTTCCGCCATCAAGCAAGTGCATTCATGAACTCTGATACCTGCCAAGAAAGCATTGTATGCGCTGGTGAAAAAACCTCTGTTATGTTTGTACAGCGATAGTGTGACCAACGAGAATTTACGATATAATCGCTTCTGTCAAAAGGTAGCCACTTCGTTCACATGCTTAGAACCACAAAACCTACCACAAAGATCTTCTTCAGCAAAATATCATAGCAAAAGGGTGTCTTATCAAGTGCAGTAATGGAAAGAGAACCATCATCTTGATCCTGTCCAACGGAGATGGAAAATGGTTGACGGAAAGCGTTTGCCTATTGGAACTGATTTGGAGATCATCAGAAGGTGCAACTGCAAAGCAGACTGCAGGACATTGAAATGCACTTGTAGAAAAAATGGGCTAGAATGCTCTGGTTTTGCGGAACATGTAAAGGACAGAGTTGTTTAMATGTTGCAAGTCCAGACTTTGAAGATAAAGATAATGATGCAGTGCTAAACGAAATTTAAGTAATTTTGATAATTGAACCATTAACGAAGTACGTAAAAAATACATTCGTAGCATTCGTAGCATTCTCGCTGCTTGTAGCGATGGGATCCCTGTGTTAATAGGGAGAAACTTGAATTTGTCAAATTTTAGAAAATAGTCAATCAATCAATCACTA